GCTACTGCTCTCTCTTCATTCATATATTTCCCGCTGGCTTTATCTGCTAGGCTTACATACTAACGAAGAGGGCATCTCGAACACACGTGGACTTCCCTGATCATTCGAGAAACTTATCACGCACGCCGACCAGCGCCAACGTGCCAACAGCATCACGTGACTTCCGCTGTCGTAACAGTATTAAAGTTTATATTTTAGAGGAAATTTTCGGTGGGTGATTGGGGGAGGGATAACGTTTGTCACATACTTATTCAGGCTAATAAGCACCGAATATTTGTATTATGTACAGTGTGACAACCATCCAGTGCAACTCATCGTGAAGGAAGTGACACTGGACCTATGTAAGTTGTTAATCTAGCACTCAGTAGAACTCACCATGGAAGATCCACAATAAGGGGTGCAGAGGTCCAGAACGAAAATCGTAACGTTGTAATGCCCCTTCCCTCCTATGGCTGAAAGGAAGAATATGTTCAGTGAAAGGATTCAAACCCGCGACTCGTAAATAGCAAGTCGAGCGCCCTAACCACCAGATATTTGCAGGCCATTTGAGGCTCTAAAGTGTTTCTTTTAACTCGGGAATTTAACAAAATCGAACAAGTTTTATTGTACAGCTTTTAAGATTGCACTGTTCACGTTAACTATTTGTCGAACTAAGCCCCCCCCCCCCCATTAGCACAGCAGTATGTCTACGGACTAACAACGCTAGAGCACAGATAGCCCATTGTGTAAGTTTGTGCTTAACTTCAAACAGTCTTGTCGATCTAAAGAGTTTTTGTACGTTTCTTGTGCGCAACCTGCGTTAGAATTCGTGCGATGGCGCAATTTACTTCTCGTGCTTAAGCTGTGGGTACATTATAAGAATGACAGTCCATCCCTTAGTTTGAGTTATTGGTGGTAGGGAGCTGGTGATTGGCTGCCTATGGTCACTAGTTCAAAATTAGGGAAGATGGCAGATAACTTTAGTAGCTTTACCATAAGTATAAATACGTGTTCTTTTAATTCGAAATCTTTACGAGATCGAACAAGTTTTACCACACACATCTTTTATTATTTCCTTTTTCTTTAAATTACGCAATAATAAAGTTGGTTCAAAGTCTCGACCGCTTTAAAAGTTTTTTTTTCTTAATGAGGAGCAAAAAACAAAGTTTTTTTTACCTTTTTGTAAGAAAGGAGTGATTTCTCTAAGACAACCAGTTTTGTTTATTTCTTAAATAATCAATTCTTACTGTTTGTCACCTACTATATACTAGGATTAAAACAAAACATTTTATCATCATTATTCAACTATCATCGTAAGAAATGTTATTTCTAGCAGTTATGGAATCAGAATATCTAAAACAAAAACGATAACTGTGGGAATTAAAGCATGAATTTCTACGAAGAAAGAATTGCAATACCAGTTTCAGCTGCTTAAGTAGAGGTATTAATTGATTAAACTATTACTCTTGAAATACCATCAATCTGCGAGTCGCGAGGTCGAATCCACGTTCCACCAAACATACTCACCCTTTCAGTCGTTGGCGTTGTAAGGTGACGATCAATCCCAATATTCGTTGATAAAAGGGTTAGCGGTGGAAAGTGATGAGTAGCTGCTTTCTCTCTAGTCTTTCACTGCTTAATTAGGGACGGCTAGCGCAGATATGGTATAGACAGATCTTTTCTGATTCAGTTCTGAGAACCATCATTAAAAGAAAACTCCCCATCACTTCCGGGAGGATTGCGATTAATTTTATCAATAAAAAAATTAAAGTTAGAAATGAAGATGTGAAAACATGTGTCAGCTATCACCAGAAAATGACAATTAAATCCACTGAAGGAATAGGAACTTAATAGCCTGAGAGGACTTAAAAGGGGTCAGCCTGAAAAGTGAAGAAACAAAGTATTTGGTGTTTAACTTGTGTAATTGAATGCTAGAATTATATAAACTTATGTCTGAAAGACATTGAAACTGTGGTAAATTATTTGTACTTAAAGTTGACTCTAGAAACAGGTATATGTTACAGTTGTTCTAATTTAGGTTATTAACATCGTATCGTTTCCTAAACTTGTTTTGTGGTGCTAAAATAATTTAGATGTATTAGCTTTTTTGTGTTGTTTATTACATCTAAATTTTAGTCAGAACTGGTGGACTGCCAGGTATCTTATCGCAAACAGTTAACGACCGTGAAGGACTACAAACTAACTCGTGCTTCGTAGATGGTAGTCCAGGACTGTTTACAGAGCTACACTAGTGTAAGTGTAAAAAAAAAAATACATTGGATTTAATACTAGTATTCATGAAGTCAAACTTCCTTTATTAAACTTAAAAAAAGTAGGTGGTGTCAATCACACAAGTCTTAACGTTAGACGTTTTAGACGTACAGCAAGGTTTTCTGGAACATTTGAAGCAGTTTTGTTGTTGTTGTTGTTGTGATTTAAATGAGAAGTACATTGACAATTTTCTTCCCTTTCATGACGAAATGCTCTATTGTACTTTAACATGAAGATACAGAACAGTTTTAAAGGTTTAATTTATAGGAGCTTCCTAAACAAATTCTTTAGTTTGCAGTTATAAGATAGGGTTGGCGGAACCTCTTTTTTGATGTTAGGATACAACAATCTGGGATGTAGCAGCAAGTAAAGATCACGATACTGCGCTCTTGTTTCACGGTGATTGGCCTACTTGTTCTTGACCGACTAACACACTCAGAAAACATTGTGGCCGATAAAAGCAGGCTCGTATGTGATAATCATAACCATCCTAGTTTGTATATGTAAAAAATCCGACAGACCCAGCGAAAACAAATGTTACAAACACAACAACACGGGAGTCAGTTTTAACCTAATAAGCTGTTCTGTTTTCTCATCATGTAAAGGACTAGAAAATAACATTACGTAATGGCATGACTTGACGTGCCTATTTGGCAGGACTTAAAGTGTCTAAATGACATTTCTTCGCATGCCTAAATGTCATGACTTCGTGTACCTAAATGCATAGCTTAACATACCGTCGAATAACATGCCTTGGTGTACCCAACTACATGACTTGACATGCCTTGATGCACTCAGATGCATGACTTAACATACCGTTTAAATAACATGCCTTGGTGTATCCAATTATATAATTTAACATACCTAGATGCATGACTTAGCGTGTCTAAATGACATAACTCACCATGTCTGAATACAATGATTTACTTGTCTAAATGTCATGACTTAAAGTGTATCAATGCAAATACGTTGATATTTATTTTAGAAGCATTACAAATAAGCATAGTTTCAGGGGCTTAGAAATATCAAGTTGGTTCAAATTATATTAGTATAATCCAAACAACTGCTTCCTCAACTCTCAGTTGTTTTCTTTTCTTATTTTTGTAGCTGCAGTTGATAATATTATAAAAAAAAATTATGACTATAGTGGTCATAGGTTACTCGTTTTGATCTTCAGAACAAATCAGCAACAAACAGTGATTATTGTAATTACTGTTTTTTGCTGATTTGTTCTGAAGATCAAAACTGGTAACCTATGAGCACTATAGTCAGTGTTTGTCGCTGATTTGTTTTGAAGATCAAAACGAGTAACCTATGATCACTATAGTTACTGTTTGTTGCTGATTTGCTCTGAAGATCAAAACTGGTAACCTATGATCACTATAGTCAGTGTTTGCCGCTGATTTGTTTTGAAGATCAAAACGAGTAACCTATGATCGTTCTAGTCAGTGTTTGTCGCTTATTTGTTCCGAATTCAACAGGTAACTTCTAATCGCTGTAGTTGGTGTTTGTCGCTTATTTGTGCCGAATGTCCACAGGTAACCTATAATCGCTGTAGATAGTGTTGGTGGTTGATTAATTGCGCAGTCTTCTGGTTTTCTAAAAGATTACTCAGAATGTAGTTCAAAGAAATGTAATTGCTGTTTAGAACAGGTTACAATTTCCAAAGAAATTCTTCTTTCATTTCCTAAAGTGCTAGTAGATATTAAAACATCACCCATTGTAATATTATCTACTAACTTGTTGACTTCTACGTTATATCATTTCCTTGTTCACCCCACATCAATATCCCATGAAGGTGACCTAGGGGAAAAAATGTAACTGAAACCTATGTATAAATTGTCGTCCCCCCCCCCCACTTAATTTAGTATGTAGGTTGCCACAATATAATCGAAGTTAGTATTAACTTGAGAGAGAGAAAGAAATTAGTGTACAGTAAAGTAGCAACTGACCACAAAAAGTTGATCAAACAACATTTTGTGTTTGTCTTTACACAGATAACACAGAGGGAGAGATTACTCAGCCACGTAATATATTTATAAATGGAGTCGAACTATAAAAAAAAAACTAATTTCAAACAATAAAGAAAAGAAAGGGGGAAAAATGCCCTATTTACGTTGACTGAGATTTGTATGGACTTTTGCTGTTTTTCTTGATTTCGAGATGACGTTTCGGGCTCTGTGCTGAGTTTTTCTGATTTACCACTAACATATTTTCTCTTTGTGTTACTTAACCTGCAAAACTATCGTAGGAATTCATACCATTAAACTCAACTAACTCAGGAGTTAAATGAAATAAATTACCTTAAGGGTTACTATCAGTTTTTAAACATAAATAGAATAAGCTACCAACTTTTCATCATAATTTTCAATGTAATATTCGATTTTAAGGCGCCCGTTGTTGTAATGATTTCATAGGCCAAACTTTTATTTTCATGAAGAAATTTTATAATTTTCAAACTAGAAATTATTTGTCACTTAATTGTGTTGTAATTTTAGTTTATATTTCTGTTATTGGACAATCTTCTGAAGTTTAAAATACACTACGCTAGAGACTCTAAAGCATTAGCTTCTCGAGACAAGTTTATAACACGTGTAAAGAAGCCAACCACACATTTTTTTTTCTAGAGCTAGTTTGGAATCGGGTTAGATCATCAACTGACTATGTTACTGAGAACAGTCGCCTCAGGCAGTTAGAACAAGAGTATAAGAACGGCAGCCTGCTCATGGCTCTGTTTAAACGAAGGAGGGTGTGCCACCTAAACACGTATATCTATCTACCTGTTTTCCTATAGTGAGAACCTATTAGTGAGACTGTAATGGAAGCTATTTGAGAATGAGAAGATAACCAGTTGCGAACTTTACAGTGACAGAAAAGACGCAACATTTTTAAATCTATTAGTCTTCATTTCATTGAAACAGTGAAATAAAGTTTCATCATACTTCGCAGACACAAGCCGACAAGGTAAGTTCGAAGTTTTATAACTTTTAATCCTCTCAATCAGTTATATTAATTTGTTTACGTTATCACCCAGCATTTCCATCAGTTATTTTCTGTGTTTTGTTTTTAATTTTTCTTTGAGGAAGACGAATTTACGAATTTAATAGTCCATTTTGCCTGCAATTTCAGTGCTTGTTCTTAGTGGCTGTTTATATAGAGTTGGTGGCATAAAGTCTACCTTTGGATGATACTTGTTTCGCTTCCCGTTTTGGAAATAATTGTATTAAAGTAGAATGTACAGACGTAGAGTGACTTAGGACAGCGTGTGTCTAACGTTTCAGTAAGGACGACTTCAGAACTTCAAATGGGTTACAAAGAATATTCTGTTTAGGTCTTTGAATTGAAATATTGTAAACCTAAAATAATAATCAATCATTTATCTCAACGACAAGTGGCAGATTTTCCCTTGACCGTCCGTTTTTTTTTTTTGTTTTTTTTAACATAATAGTTTATCTTGAGATTCTAAACTCCATAAAAGTTTTCTATAGTCTTTATTCAACGACATAACGTTATGATATTAGGTGTATGCAAACACGTGTTTCTGTTACAAATAGATAGAGACCCAGTACCAGTAACTTGTTGTAAATAAGTTCGACGTGTTTTATTTACCAAAGCGTATAATCGTTAGAATAACTTGATAACGGGCTGTTTAAGTTCGACGTGTTTTATTTACCAAAGCGTATAATCGTTAGAATAACTTGATAACGGGCTGTTTAAGTTCGACGTGTTTTATTTACCAAAGCGTATAATCGTTAGAATAACTTGATAACGGGCTATTTAAGTTCGACGTGTTTCTTCCAAATCGGGGATGGTTTTTAGATAGCTTGATGATAGGAATAATTAGGAAGGACGTTTTCCTACAAAAGTGGAGACATGCTTTGAGTAACTTGGTAAGGGTTGATTAGAAAGACAATTTGTTACCAAAGTGGAGAAGTACTTTCACTAACTTATTGAGGGTTGATTAGAAGGACAATTTGTTACCAAAGTGGAGAAGTACTTTCACTAACTTATTGACGGTTGATTAGAAGGACAATTTGTTTCTAAAGTGGAGAAGTACTTTCACTAACTTATTGAGGGTTGATTAGAAGGACAATTTGTTTCTAAAGTGGAGAAGTGCTTTCACTAACTTATTGACGGTTGATTAGAAGGACAATTTGTTACCAAAGTGGAGAAGTACTTTCACTAACTTATTGAGGGTTGATTAGAAGGACAATTTGTTACCAAAGTGGAGAAGTACTTTCACTAACTTATTGAGGGTTGATTAGAAGAACAATTTGTTACCAAAGTGGAGAAGTACTTTCACTAACTTACTGAGGGTTGATTAGAAGGACAATTTGTTTCTAAAGTGGAGAAGTGCTTTCACTAACTTATTGAGGGTTGATTAGAAGGACAATTTGTTTCTAAAGTGATACGTTCTTTGTTCAATTAAGATGGATTCCTTGATTTTTCGTTTGTTTATGTTTGGTTATTTGTTTGAAATTACTGTGTTTTTAATAGATATACTGTGGTTATGTGGAATCCATTTTAATTGAACAAAACAACCCTACTCTAAACCAACGCTCTGGGGTGCCAAGATATCTCTTTTAATGTCGTACAACAATATCCGGTCATGTGACCTCTTTATTCCATACTGTATACATATCTGTGTCAGTGTAAACTATTTGTACCTGATGATGACAAAACCTTGTCGAAGTGTTATGTTAAACTTATATTAAAGTTTTCCTTCATTACCCATTGAAGCCGTCTCCAAGCGTTATTAATATGACTATATTTCTATCAACCCGAAGAATTTTTCGAAGTAACGTGGTGAGATGAATAATTAGATTAAATCAACGTCTAATGTCTCGATTAGCGACTACTTAGCAAGGACTTGTTTGTACTGAAACTAGGCTGATTTACCCATATAGGATTGGATATCCAGATATCCATGTCATTGTTTTATCTATCAGTAATTCAGGTAGAATAAAAATAATCTTTATCTTGTAAACTGTAGCAACACTTAAACATCAAGATATATGCCATTTTCATCCCAAGTTCACAAAACTAACAAAAATGAAGAACTCTGTCGTAACGGAACTCCACAATAGTTGTAGATGTACATCGTAGTCTAATTACTCCAAGTATCCGAGCCGTTCTTCACTAACTCACAAACGTGTTCTAACAGAAGATGGCATATCTCTACTATACTAAAACAAGTTAGTTGTGCTCACCCTCTGACTGGTCTCAAAATGTGTCGGCAATGACTCATTTTTTTATTTGTTTTGTTTTCAAACAATCTGTTTCTGTAACCGGTCTATGAGCCGATCTTTCAATACAAACAAGTGACTTTAGAGTTACCCCATCAGTATCGGCTACTAATTACTTTAATAAGAAATGAATTAACTCGTTGGTTAACAAAAGTTCCACGACCTTTTAGTATCAGTAAGTTTATTTTTAGAAATAAAACTTGAGTGTTCGAACACTAAAGCCTGATAAAATGTGCTATAACATTTTGTTCTGCTAAATAATAATAACCAGGTTTAATCAGTTAGGATCTTGAAGAAGTGATTCGTGCTCTGAAAACAAACAAAAACTGTCGCATAAAATACCAATGTATCAAATTACGTTATCTAACTATATTACTCTGTTATATACCATTGTTTTAAATTACGTTATCTAACTATATTACTCTGTTATATACCATTGTTTCAAATTACGTTATCTAACTATATTACTCTGTTATATACCATTGTTTTAAATTACGTTATCTAACTATATTACTCTGTTATATACCATTGTTTCAAATTACGTTATCTAACTATATTACTCTGTTATATACCATTGTTTTAAATTACGTTATCTAACTATATTACTCTGTTATACACCATTGTATCAAATTACGTTATCTAACTATATTACTCTGTTATACACCATTGTATCAAATTACGTTATCTAACTATATTACTCTGTTATACACCATTGTATCAAATTACGTTACCTAACTATATTACTCTTTTATACACCATTGTATCAAATTACGTTATCTAACTATATTACTCTGTTATATACCATTGTTTTAAATTACGTTATCTAACTATATTACTCTGTTATATACCATTGTTTTAAATTACGTTATCTAACTATATTACTCTGTTATACACCATTGTTTCAAATTACGTTATCTAACTATATTACTCTGTTATACACCATTGTATCAAATTACGTTATCTAACTATATTACTCTGTTATACACCATTGTATCAAATTACGTTACCTAACTATATTACTCTGTTATACACCATTGTATCAAATTACGTTATCTAACTATATTACTCTGTT